TGCTGAACCCCGCACTGGATCCTCCCATGCCCGATGCCCTCTCATTTAGGTCTCAGCTCAAATGTCTCTCCTCAGAGAGGCCGTCCATGAACACCACCACTAGATCCGAAACCCCCAACGCCCAGCACCAGGGCCATGTGTGGACTTGCGAGGGCCCAGGCAGTGATGCCCTCACAGGCTGCCTTCTCTATGCAGAAGACGAAAAAGTCTGTTTTATGACAGTGTTGGTGTAAAGTTACACATAATCAAGGTTGGAGGAGTCTTTTCTTTCTTTTGATTTTTAAAAGAAAATAAACCATTTCCATGGGCCCCAGTCCTGTGCCTTCAGTCCCCAGGGGATACGCTGGCTCTCCCTGGACTCGCCCTCCTAGCACTCCTGGTAGTATTTCTTTCTGGGCACTCACTGCTCCTCAAAATCTTGTTTATCTGTTGCCTGTTCATTGTCTACAACTGAGCTACCTGGTCCCCAAGACAGGCAGCATGTCCAACAGCATCGGTGGTGTCCCTGTGCCGAGGACAGGTCCAGGTGGCAGTAGGATCCATGGAGATGTGCTGCCTTTGGCGTGTCCCCCGCAAAGGCTCACGTGTTGCAAACTATATCCGCACAATCCCATGTTAATGGTGTCGGGAAGTGGGAGGTAGTTAGGATTTAATGAGGTCAGGAGGGTAGTGACATCGGTAGCTTGCCATGCGGTGCCCTCCACCGTCATGACGCAGGTCGAGGACCCTGCAGGTGCCAGCACCATGCGCTTGGACATCCCAGCCTCCAGAACCATGAGCCAAATACACTTCTGTTCTTGGTAAATGACCCGGTCTGTGGAACTCACTGAGAGCAACAGAAAAGGCTAAGGTACTGACTAAGCGAATGACTGCGTGAGGCCAGAACACCTGGCACTACGGGAGTAAGAGGGGATCTGTCACGAGGCATAAGGACAGTGTTCAGGGGTTGGTAAGGGAGGCTGAGCCAGGGGCATCACCTCGTGTAGTCCATGATGGTGTTGAGGCGGTGAGCGATGGTGAGGACGGTACAGTCGTCAAACTGTGTGCGGATGGTAGACTGAATGAGGTCATCCGTTTCCAGATCCACGGCTGCTGTGGCTTCATCCAACACGAGGATCTTCGTCTTCCTCAGCAGAGCCCGTGCCAGGCACACGAGCTGGCGCTGCCCAACGCTTGATGGAGAGAAACAGACCAGGAGACAGACTGTCAAACTACCCCTGCCCTGGAGCCCAGGCTAGTCGGTCAGCCTTGATCAGGGGAGCACGTCCACCCGCCCATCCCTGCCTGCAGCAGATATCATCAATTAACCGCAGCACACCTCCTGATGAGCTGGAAGCAGGCTCGGAATCCTGCACACAGGGCTCAGAGGTGACACCTCTGGCCCCGGGCAGGATGGGGAGGTAACAGACACTCTAGGCGGCCCTAAGAGTTGACTCTGGGCTCAGCCACAAGCCTCGCTCTGGCCGATGTGCTGCTGGCAAGCTAAAGTCTGTGGGGGTGCGAGGTGGGACTATATGTAGGTCCTGCTCGCTCCTGTGCCTCTGCCATCGCCATGACAACCTGCCCAGCTGGTCTGCTGGAGGATGACAGACACCTGAAGTGTCCCTGTAGTGTCCCAGCCGAGGCCAAGTAGATCAGCCAGCAGACAGCGGAGCCCCAGGCACGTGGGCGAGCCCTACCATGATCGGCAGAGCCATCTGGCTGCCTGCCCGGCCACGAACTGTCAACCGCTGCTCTACCACTGAACACGGATAAAGCCCTGTGCTTGCTGTCATGCGATGAATAACTGAGTCAAGCACATGCTCATGACACAAGCACATGCTAATGACCTCCAAGGCTCCCTGCAAGGCTGTGCTTCCACTGCTGGAGCTCAGGCAAACCTTGGGGTCCTGAAAGAAGGGCCAGGGCTGCAGGGGAAGCAGGTGGGGACCTGGAGGTCACGGAGTAGTGCAATTTGCTAACCATCACAGAAGCCTTTTTGTTTTTTAAAATAATTATTTAATTTTATTTATTCATTCATTTATTTTAATTTGACCAGAGAGAGATCGAGAGAGAGAGAGTGGTTGGCCATATGGGGGTGTCCAGCACCTTAACCACCATACCACTTGCTGGTCCCGTGCACAGAAGCCTTTTAATAGTTCAGTGATTGACAGCCACTCCCCACAGGGTGGAGCCAGTGTAAGAGAGGAATGCGCTGGCTATCCTGGTTATTATGCCTCAGGGGGAAAAGAGCTAGGACTGAAACCCACTCTACAGACACAGAAACTGAGGCCCCAAGAGGTGAAGGGATGGGCAGCTTGTGCGTGGTGGAACTGGGACTCAAACCCAGGCCCGACACAGACCAAGAAGGCAGAATCTTCAAACACGCCGGCCGAGGCATCACCCCACCTACCTCAGGTTCTCCCCGCCTTCCGCACATTCGTGGTTCAGCTTATCGGGCAGGCCCGACACGAAGTCCTTCAGGTGCGCCAGCTCCAGGGACGTCCAGACTTCCTCGTCTGAGTACTGGCTGAACGGGTCCAGGTTCATGCGGAGGGAACCCGAAAACAGAACGGGGTCCTGCTCAGAGAGAAGAGAGCAGACAGCAGGTGACGCACATGTTGCACCAGCCATGGGTGGAAAAAAGGGGCGGGGCATGAGGTGGCTGAAGGTGCGGCTTCCCCGTCCCTCGGCACCTCTATTTCTGGAGATGTTAATAATGAGGAAAACAGTCCTGAAAAACCAGTGTTGACCAGAATAAAACAGACTTCTTTTTGCAGGCCATCCCAGAGCTTTCAATATGCAAACCTGCAGGGGACCTCTGAGGAGAGAGATGGGGCACTGGTGACTCCTACTATAAAAACTGCAGCTTTGTCCCTCGGCCCCTGTCCCCTACCTCCAAGAGAATCTTGGAAAAACTTAGGGAAAAAAATACCAACAGGGGGAACCAGCAGCTAGCGTAATGGCTATGTCGCTGGACTCCCATGTAGTCGACCGCGGTTCACGTCCCGGACCCGGTGGCTTAAAACTCACGCCGGGCGCGTGTGCGTGCGTGCCCAAGATCCCGAGAGGAGAATGGAGGAGAAGGGATTGTGGCGTGACCATCCCCCCTGGGGGGTGATTTCTCGCTTTCTGTCTCTATGTCTCTGTCTGTCTGGCGAGCACACGCGCCAGAGAGACAGTGAAAATCTCTCCAAAAAAAAAAAAAAATACCAACAGGCAACATATCAAGGAATTGCATCTACAAGGATTGATAAATGATTCTTGGACAGGCTAGAGGTTCCTATCCTGACTCCAAAAGCCAGCGAGAGCAAACAGTGTCTTCATGGACTTTGTTAGATGCCCAGGAAATAGCCACAGGGGTGGCAGGAGGTGGGACTGAGACCCAGTGAATTCCCACACTGTTATTTCTATGCTAAGAGGAAATCTAGGGGGAGAATAAAACAGCTTAACTTCATTAAAAATAATGAAATAGCAGGCAAGTAGGTGGCATGGTGGTTGAGGTGCTGGACTTCCACATGGCCGACAGGTTTGAGTCCCGGACCTGGCAGCTTGAAACTCATGGTGGGCATGTGTGCATGCATGCCCAAGATCCTGAGAGGAGAGTGGAGAAGAAGGGATTGCAATATGGCCATTCTCCATGGGGAGTGATTTCTTGTCTGTCTCTCTGATGAGCGCACAGGCCCTAAAGTAAAAAAATCACTCTCAAAGAAGAAAAAAGGAATAAATTTACAGTTGTCCTCAAAATATGTACACAAAGTTGCCAGGGTGTCCACAGGCCTTGCCAGCCCGACTCCTCGGCCCCCGGGCCCACCTGGGGGATGATGGTGATCTTGAAGCGCAGGCTGTGCAGGCCGATCTTGGCGATGTTGACACCATCAATGATGATCTCGCCTTGGGCAGACTCGGTGATCCGAAACAAGCCCAGGGTCAGCGATGACTTCCCGGCTCCTGTCCGCCCCACGATGCCAACCTGTGGACAGGAAGGGCCCAGGGTGAAGGGAGAACTCTGGCATCTAAGGGCTGTCCCTCATCCCAGAGCAACCTCACTGCTGGGCCCGCCCCCAGGGCAGTGCAGTCATCTGGTAGACCCAGCTCCCTCCACAGCCTGCCCTCCCACTCACTTCCCAGACACTCTTTAGGGGTTGTTCTGGCCAAAAGTCAAGAGGGACTCTCTTCTCTTTGCCAGGCTTCCCAAGAAATTAGTCAGCTCTTTTTACAAGGAATTAGACTCCCAATGGGAGACACCAGGAATTCCCAATAAAGCCCAATTATCTTGAACTCGCGAGACTATTAATAATTGGGTATTTTCCCTCTACACTGTCTTTTGCTCCTCTGATGGTGTTTTCCACCCTGAACTACTGTCATACCTCAAAGATTCAGGCAGACCCCCTATACCCGTTTTGATAAGACCTGGTAGGTGCTTACCCTCCCTGGGGGGAATTAGCCCCTTCCCTAGCCAAAGGCTGATGAGGGACATTTCTGACCTCCAACTGCAATTCTTCCCTTCACATCGGGAGCCATGAGGGGCGGGCTTCCTCTGCCCTCTAACGTCCCTGAGAGAGGCTACAGAGCAGCAGCACGCCTGCAAACTCTCAAGAGACAACATAAGCCCCAGAGACTCAAGAACATCGCCCACCCTGTCTTTCCGCGGTTGCTAAATTTGAGAATTATCCCGTGGGACAGAAAACAGTTTAACCAGTCCATGTCACATGTTCAGGACGAAAGTAGCACTGTCCCCAGCTCATGACCAGAAACACGCCTGATCTGATTCCTGAAAAAGGTCTGTGGGTCTCAGGGAGAGAATGTTTTCCAGGAACAGCTTGAATCCAAGGAAGTTCCATAATTCTGACCATCTTATTCTGGAGACAGAGACCCCGAATGCCTCCGAGGGGCCACATGGGACTGTGCACAGGGCAGGGAGGCACCAGGCTGAACCGGAAGGCTCACGGCTCTAGAGAGGCAGGCAGGGTACGTGGCCATCACTGCTGGATGTTCTGGTCTTTCCACAAAAGCAGGAAATGGACTTTGATAGCAAATGCTCCAGGGCTACTCAGTATTGGCAACTTATTCAGATGCTATTTCGAAAATCCATCTGAGGGGCCAGCAGGGGGCATGGTGGTTAAGGGCTGGACTCCCACATGGCCCACTGCGGTTTGAATCCCAGACCTGGTGGCTTGCTCTCTCGCATTCTTTTTCTTTCATTCTGGTCAAACTTAAAGAAATCAATAAAGTTAAAATTAAAAAAAAAAAAAGTAGTGAGACCTATTAGGTCTTCAGGCTACCAGTTTGCAACTCCACTGACACCCCCTGAACAAATTTCACCTCACAAGCCCCACCCACCCCCAGAGCCACTCGGCCCTGGGGTGGGGGACTGTGACAGACCAGCAGGAAATAACGTGGTGTCAGTCTGTGCCTGACCGTGAGTGGGTTGGGGGCGACGTGCACCCACCTTTTCTCCTCCTTCGATGGTGACGTTGATGTGCTTGAGAACCAAGTCCAGGTCCTCCCGGTAGCGCAGGCCGTAGTCCCGGAATTCCACGCGGCCCACCTGGGGCCAGGTGCTGGGGGGAGCTGTCTCCTGGATTTCCCAGGGAGCCTAGGATGACAGCGGGAGGCAGGGGTAAGGATCCAAGGTCTAGCCCTTGTGCCACAGGCTCCCCCGGGGCCAGCCTCCACGAGGCCACAAATGCATCCGTGTCTTGCCTCCAGACCCGTGGTCCTGCTGCCTGAGGGTCTTTCCTGAACCTTCTGCCTGGCGGGCTCCCTCAGCCCTGCAGACCTCAGTTTAATTTCGGTCACTCTCCTCTCCTATGGCCCCTCTACCCCAACCCCCACTGCTTCATCCTCCTGCAGAGCACATAGTAGGTACTCAGTAAGTTTTTATGAATTGAGGTGATGAAGTGAAGGGTCTCCCCTGGACAAAGGTGAGTTATCCGGGCTGCCGTCCTGGTCTGGAGGGCAAGGGTAAAAGCAGCAGCTGGCACTGAGAGACGACCTCGTGCTAGGCACCATGCCAGTCACCGTGTCACATCATCTCCTTTAATCCTCCCAACAACCCACAAAGGGGGTCCTTCTGTTATCTCCAACTCACCACAAAGCAGCAGACAGAGAGGGTAAGCAACATGCCCAGAGTCACACAGCCCCTATTGCTAGAAAGCTTATTTCTGTCCAGCATCCCCTGAGGCCCTCGGCTGGATGTGCTTGGAGCCAGGTTCGGTGGCCTCAGCCTCAGGGACCTTATGCCCTCCAGGGACCAGACAGAGGAGGACTTTACAGCCTCCAGAGACCTGGCGCACATCCTCTGAGACACGGACGAAGAACCTGGCTGCAGAGTTAGTCACAGCTCAGAGTCACAGCAGGGTGCAAAACTAGAAACTAGGGATCACCTTTCAGACAGGAAACTCCGCCTCTCTGAGGCAGTGCCACAGAGGAACAGCGTGTGTTAGAGCGCTTACAGTACTGCATGCTGCGCTCGGCGCTTTAGACCGCTCGCACCTGGGACAGTAGCAACTGCTAATTTACGTGGATGCGAAGGTGCTCTGTGGTTCCAGAACAATGGGGGATGAGAGAGTAACGGGAGGTCCCATTCAAGTTCAGAGAAAAGCAAACAGATGGGTGTGAAACGTGCCAGTGCGTGAGCACACACTGCACCTGCTAAGGGGCTCCTCTGCGCAGGGGACAGTAAAAGGGAACTCATTAGCTCTCCTCATGAAGCTCTTGCACTCATTTTTCTTTAGACAAGCTTGTCTCCATTTTATAATTTATGTACGCAAATGAAGGGGACATGCTGGAAGAAAACAGGGGACTTCAGGAGAATGGAGAAGGGGATTGTGGTGTGGCCATCCCCTGGGGGGCACTCTCACTTTCCCTCTCTTTCTACAAGTGCATGTGCCCTATAGCAAATGTTTGAAATTGATTTTAAAAATATATGTATGTGTATGCATATGTAATTTGTGGAACAGGGACAGGTAAGAGTAATCTTTATTTTCTCTTTTTTTTTTTTTTTAAACAGTTTTTGCTATAGGGCGCGTGTGCTGGCCAGACAGACAGAGAGACAGAAAGCGAGAAATCACCCCCCAGGTGGAATGGCCATGCCGCAATCCCTTCTCCTCCGTTCTCCTCTCAGGATCTTGGGCACACACGCACACATGCCCAGCATGAGTTTTAAGCCACCGGGTCCGGGATGCAAACCGCGGTCAACTCCATGGGAGTCCAGTGACATAGCCATTACGCTAACTGCTGGTCCCTATTTTCTCTTCTTTATCAAATATGCTCTTATTCTTTTTAAAAAATTATTTATTTATATTTTGGGACCAGCAGTTGGCATAATGGCTATGTTGTTGGACTCGCATGTAGCCGACCATGGTTCGAGTCCCGGACCTGGTGGCTTAAACTCACGCCAGGTGCGTGTGCGTGTGTGCCCCAGATCCTGAGAGGAGAATGGAGAAGGGACTGTGGTGTGGCTTTACCCCTGGGGGGTGATGTCTCACTTCTGTCTCTCTCCTTCTGGTGAGCACACATGCCCTATAGCAAAAACCTCTCCAAAAAAATTTATTTATTTATATTTTATTTTTAAATTTGGGACCAGGAGATGGCGTAATGGTTACGTCACTGAACTCCCATGTAGTCGGCCGTGGGTC